AGGCCTGTTTGATTCCTAATAACTAACAACCACTTCATTTGTCCTACTGCGTGAATTTAATGCAAAATTACATGAAATCAATATTGCATCATTAACGCTTTAAGTGATAGCTCCTTCTATACTAAGATCTAGTTTGAACATTTTGGAATAGTTAACACTTTTTAAAGGGATCCATGACTAGTTGAACATGTGACCTTAATTTTAGTCTGAATACGTTACAAATCATAATTACTTGAACAAATTTAAATTGTTTGTAAAATTTTCCACCCATTGAGGTTTCCCTTTAGTCATCACCACATTACATGCTGGGTAGAGGTCCTACTGGACTGGAATCGACAGAGTAAACACACGATTTATCACATTGTGTTTGACGGATGTAAATTTAGAAAACACCACACTGCGTCACTTTCTCAAAGTTTTAATGAGCCGTCATACATGAGATATAAGCTGAAACAAACGTGATCAACTTGTAATCAACTGCCTAATATATTAGCCAGAGCTAAAACTGTTAACAGAATTTAATATAAAATCAAATCATAGAATAATGAAGGTCTGGTTAAGGTGACAGGAAAGCGTCTTTCAGTCTTTGTAACACATTCGCTGTTTCTTATTTCACAAGAAGGCGAGTACGGACTCGTTGCCAAGTATGTTCTTGAGAATAACACAAGAAAGTGTGGACCTTGGAAGAACGGGAGCACGCTGCTTAAATATGGGTCGATTGGAAAAGAAATGTACTTGTGACGTCACTACACGCTCAGCTCGTCTGGAGCAGCATTTCACCTACGTCATCCATCCATTTTCTTCCGCTTATCCGAGGTCAGGTTGCAGGGGTAGCAGCTTCAGTAGGGAGGCCCAGACGTCCCTCTCCCCGGCCACTTGGGCCAGCTCCTCCGGGGGAATCCCAGCCAGCGAGCATAGTCCCTCCAGCGTGTCCTGGGTCTCCCCCTGGACCTCCTCCCGGTGGGACGTGCCTGGAACACCTCACCAGGGAGACGTCCAGGAGGCATCCTAACCAGATGCCCAAGCCACCTCAACTGGCTCCTCTCGATGTTGAGAAGCAGTGGCTCTACTCTGAGTCCTCCTTGGATCACTGAGCTCCTCACTCCTCTAAGGGGGAGCCAAGACACACTACGGAGAAAACTAATTTCAGCCACTTGTATCTGGGATCTCGTTCTTTCGGTCATGACCCAAAGCCTACGATCATAGATGAGGGTAGGAACGTTATTAATAGTTTCTAGATAATAATAAATTCATACTTTTTTCATTTAGTGGGGGAATAATAATAAACACATTCAGATAAACACAAAATTAATATTTTGCCAAATAAAACAAAAATATCGCCATCATAGCCAGCACCAATTTTTTCAGAATCAAACTGAAAAGTTTTAATATTGCTCAATCCTAAAGGAACCCGTTGCTACAGGACTCAGCAAGTGTTAGTTACCCAAAATATATGACATTGTGAACACTATAGCAATGACACTATTGCAGTATTTATTTTCTCAAATAAAGTCTGTTGTTACAAATAATTATGGATCCCTTCAAGGTCTGAAATTTAAAGGATTGAAATGCTGTTTACACATTTCCAAGACCTTTTGGAAACCACATGTATTTTTGTTTGTTAAATTATTTATTTATTTCTTAAGATATGCAGATTAGGTTTATTGGGTATTTTACTTTACCATGTAAAACTATTGGTTACATTTTTAGTTGTGTCTGTGCTCTGATGTGACTTTCCCAGGGTCTGTCCACCTGATGGAATGGAAATGGCCTTACCATCCATTAGAGCCAAACACCACAAAAAAGAAAGTTTCATGTTATACTTGTCTTTGTTTTGGACCAATGAAATTAATGAGCTCCTAATTCTGTTTTAGTTGGATGGATGGATCTTATAACTTACTGACAAAAATCACGTGCACCATAAAGATTGACAGAATCTGGTGCATATGACGACACATAAGGAAATATTCACATTTTCAATAGAGCTAGAGCCTAAACCATATTCATTGATAAACATAGAAGTGGAGCTTTTATTTTTACTTTCAAACAGTCAAAAAATTATTTTCTTTCAAAATTACAAATCGGACTCGCTAGAGGATTTAAGGTTTCATTAGACGATGTGGTTATTGGTATGTTTAACTCTCTGGCACATGGGCATACAGATGTCATAATGACCTTTTGACGGCGTCAGTTGGTCTGAGAGGTAAATTACGAGATGTTCAATGACTTGGAAGGATCATTGCATCTTCTTGGAACAGAGCAGAAACTGATAGACCACCCATACTCAAGTGTTGGTCCCTTTCCAATTTCAAATGTTGTCTTGGCTGACATGATCTTAGGTTCTCCACTTTTCAGCAGCATGTCTTTAGGCCAATTCACGCTTCTGAAGCCTCTGCAACGTCCAATGTGTCTCAGTGCGTGACCACGCCCCCCACGCAGATGTTCTGCAACCGTTGTCGCACACCTCAAAAACATCCTAATTACGCATCGGATGGTCGCAAACCCGTGCAGACCTCAAGTGCGCAGACAAAAAGCTGCAATGATTGGTCCTTGGTATGCCTTTCCGGCTGTCTGTGTGGTCGTCCCTCTCAATTCGGTGCCAGGGTGCGCCATTTTTAAAAACCAAGGAACAACTACAAAGGATAACCTACACGTCCTCCTTTGTCTTTTTGCCAACTCCATTAACAGAACCTGTTCCTCTTCGATGTCTAGAAACTCTAGATCCATCTCTGTGACAGTCAAACCTTGCAGACGAGTCATTGTTGTTTTGGAAGATAAACTCTCCCACCGGCAACCGCCGAAGTTCTTGCAAGTTGTCAAATAGGCTCCCCCTTGCACTTTGGCGGGAAACTGCTGTGCGTCTATAGAATTTCCAGACCAACGTTGCAGAAGCATACCAGCAAAACTTGTTCATGACCAGACCCAAGCGACATTTGATGTGTGCGGTTGCAGAAGTATAATCTGCCCTTTAGTGTACATGTACGCTGTATGTATCCGACCATTGTTGATTTCTCCATCATGAGAGAGGAAGGTCAATTTTATCAATGTTTTTGAGAAACAGACAGGTGGGTCCTGTTGATCCAAAGTAGTAGTAGTATTGGCAACCCAAATTTCTTCACCCTACTTCAGGTACATTCACACTGAAAGTGGTGCATAGTCCAGGTGGTTCGCCTGCCGTTGGTCGATTATATTCTGCCTCTGTCTCGCTTACAGTTTGCCCAGACCTCCAGGTGGACTGCTTCCCAGTTCGCTCCACCGCATCTTGTCTGCTCACCTGACTTTGGCGGACATGTTTCCAAAGCTGAACAAGCATCAGGGCCAATATTCCTGGGCCCACCAGATAGCTAGTGTCAGGATGGATCGATTGGATCATACGGTTAGTTTTTGGCTAAGAAAGTTTGATCTCGGCATCCCTCATCTACCCTGCATATCATCCACATTCAGTTGGATTGTTTAACATGACCTGAACTGACAAAACATTGCAGATTTTACAACTACTGATCTCCTTTTATGGGTCATTTGCATTGCTTGAATTGCTTAGTCAATCTTGAAAGCAAATTTTCTAAAGCATAATAGGAAAATCACCTGATCACTCCATGTGAACGTACCTTAAGACACCACCCACCTGTGTTGTGTAGAATGGATCCATTTTGCTGGTTCATAAGGAAAGATTTTGGTCATCCTTATAGGAAATGAGAAAGCACTGCACCGAATCTGAGTTGTTTGGAACCTCAAATGATGTCAAACCCTTTGTTCATAACACCATCTGTGTAGCCGTACTGCAAACTTTCTTAGCCATTGGATCTAATATCGTAGTTCTTATAATACAGGATCATTACCTACGGCAGATGCTATCCAATTGGTTTTCCACTACTTTTTTTCAAAGAGTAAATATTTCAAAACAATATTCCTGTTAGATAAAGTAGCAGATAATTGAACAATGTCATACTTAACTATTTATTGTAAAAATATTATCTAGGAGGTAATACAAGCCTACTTGAACTTGACATCGGACAAGCCTTGACATTTATCCATGGACAAACAGCACAGTAGGTTCTCTTAAATACTGAGTAGAGTGTTTTACAAAATTTACAGAAAATGATCAAAACTATCTGAAATAATTAAGACAATGAATTTTTCCTCCACTACAGCTTGTAGAATACCTAAATATAAAGCTCAGCAATAAGAACCCCACTGCTAAAACAATGGATCCAAAATGCCAGCGCTGCCAGTATACATGACGAGCTGTGAAGCTGTTCTAAAGTTTTCCCTTTACGCTAGCTAAGGTATCATTAGCGATTATTCTATAGCATTTTTAGCATAACTACAGTTCCAATTCATTTCAACTTTAGCATGCAAAACTTTTTTCTATGTTTTCCAACAGCCCTACAGTAATAATTTAACTGTCCGTTTAAAAGCATCAGATGTACAGTGCCTAACATTACCACAGTTTGTCACACTATCTGAGAGACCAACACAAGATAGCACGTTTTATGGGGGAAATTTTGTTTCGTTATTTATTGCTGGAAGCAGAGAACATGTTTTGCAAATGGAAATTTGTGGGGGAAAAAAAAAAATTATTGAAAAAAAAAGGTTTGTATTTTTCAACATTTTTTTCATGGTTTTGACAACTATAATTAAGAATTGTATTATTTAAAATTTATTAAAAAAAATAAAAAAAAAATTTTATTGGTCTGCATGAACGTTAAATTGGTCAAGAGCGAGCGTTTAGACTGAGATTGATGTGAACAGAATGTTATCTCTGAAACCTAATTTGAAAGAAATGCAATTTGTAAAACTATCTGTACAACAAAATAAAAAAAAAAGAATAAAGCATACATTATGTCAAACTTAGAAAAATAAATAAAAAAAGGTGCGAAAACCCTCGATACTATTTTTTTTTCCGTTTAAAATGTTTTTTGAAGCTTAATTTCTACAACTGATGTATATATGTATAATTTTTCTTTTTTTTTAAATTTCCACTCAGAAAATGTGTTTGGTTTTCTTTTTTTTTTTGCTTCCAACAATAACGTAACGAAATTAACTCCATAATAATTGAACACTCAACAAAAAATGATGTATAGTTTTATAAATGTTAAAGTATAAAACTGTCTGTGATGTGAGGGACTGTAGCAGAACAGTGCATCAGCAAGGACATGAAGAAAGGATATATTTTAATGAAGGGAAAGAAAATAGGAACTTAAATCCAACTCTGATATACACAGATTTATCGTTTGGATGACTGTTTGTCAGAGAACATTAGAGAAAAAACAACATAACGACCAAGAAGGGGAGAAAATCGCCACGAACAGAGACATTTTAAGAGAAGCTCATCTTAATATTAATAACTTTATAACACTATAACCTACAGTCATGTTTCATGTCATGGAAATGACACTTTAAGCCCGTAAGGCATAGAAAGAGAGCTTGTCATGAAGATTTTTGTCGTTTAATATTTTTGTGATTTTGCACACCTTCATTTTCTGATTTTTTTATCCTAAATGTTATTTTTGTGAAAGTAACTACAAAAGTAATCAGTAACTAATTTCACAGAATTTGATATTTTCTAAAGAAACATTTTATAAAGGTAGCCTGTGATATGAAATACATCACATTTCTAAAATAACTTGCCTAACTCTGCTTAACATTATTTAATGAGGATCAGACCATTTTAGGTTGTTTTTGTGCAGATATATAACGTAACTTTAAACACCTTTAAACATTTCAGACGGACTGAATACAAAAGCAGGGAACTCTATCTATGCCATCTTGTCCTTGCAGAAATATCAAACATTTGCTTCTCATTTAGAGAAACCAATAGTACCAACCACAATTATGCACTACTTTGTGTTGGTCTATCACATAAAATCCTTAAAAACCTTTACATTTGTAAGTGAAACAAAATACTTTAGGACTGTTAATCGTTCTAAATATTCGTAAAGTACCTTTTAAAAAGCTGACGACTCCACATAAAGGTATTAAGTAGAGAGATCCGTTATTTCCTAATTAAGGATTGATGTGGTTTGTCTTTAATTACCATAAACACAGTGAATGTAGCTCAGCTCCGTCCCATTCACAGCTGCATAAGTAAACGTCGTTCTCTATGGCTCATAAGATTATTTTTTAGCTTCACAGATCATGGAAATGTTTTACTACACCTTGGAAAGAGGTGAACGGCGTTGGCATGTTTCCCATCAGCACACGACCAGCAGCTTTATCATCACAATGAGTTCACGTAAACTGTTCAAAGTTATCTCTGAAAGAGGAGAAAAACTGTCCAAAATGTGGAATGTTGTGAGAGCTACAAAATCTGTAAACATTAATACATAAAGTAGGAAAAATTACAGATCAGACAGCCCTAATTTTAAGCCATGATGTCTGTCAGTGTTCATGATGGTTTAGTGTTTCCTATAGAACCTGATCGATCACTTATTCAACCTATTATTGTAATTATTGCTTTTCTACGCTATGAAGCTCATACGCCTCACTAAATAGTTTATACAAAAGAGAAATGACAACACTTTGTCGGGTGAACAGTCGTGTGAGTCGGAACGGAGCTCTCACGCAGCCGTTCGTTCGTGATCGGCACGCCGAGGCCAGCGAGGACGGTTTAACCCATGCACTGCTGCGTCACACACACCAGGGCACAAACAATACAGGAAACACGCAGGAAAATGGCAGAGTCCCTTCAGTTAAGCCCCTGTTTGAGCTGAATCCCACCACTTGGCGCGGCCCATGTCACACCGCTGTGTGTTTTGAGTTTGCGTTCTCTTTCCTGGGCAACGAGGAAATCTTCTCGCTGAACTGGCTGAAGCTGGCAGCCCTGCATCTCGCCCTGGGACCGTCCGGAGCCGTGGGGCCCGACGGTAGAGTACTGTATCTGCCCAGAATGGGGAAGGCCTGCCCTGCGCTGGGGGATTGGCTTTTGGGGTGGAGGGTGGCGTCCTTGACGAAGAGGCTCTGGATGAGCTGGAATTTCTCCTTCTCCTCTTGCAGAAACAGGTTGACCAGGAGCTTCTTCTCCCGCTTGAGCTGCTCCACGATGGTTTTGGGAACGTCCGGGATCACCCAGGCGACGATGAGGCTCAGAAACATCACCAAGTTCTAAAGGGAAGAAAGGAAGCGAGATAATTCAGACACTGACTTCAAATACATGCTGAACTTTCTCTGTTTTCAGCCATTTTCCCTTTCAATAGCCAGAGAAAGCTTCTGATGGTTAATTTACAACCTTTGATTACAGTGGACATCCATAAAAATTACTTTCTACAAATGTGGGATTAATAAATTGACTTTTTTTATTCTACATTTTCTGCTCAAACTAAACCTGAAGAATTTAACCATAAAGTCAAAAAAGTTTGCTGCCTGGAGAACATCGTCCCAACTGTGAAGCACAGAGGAGGCAGAATAATGATGTGTGGTTGTTGCAGCAAATAGGACTGGTGCATTTAAAGTTAGAATATTGCAGTTTACAAAAAAATTAACATGTTATATTATTTAATTTGTGCAGTTCATTTGTGTTTCCTGTTTGGAATTATAGATTAAATTATATGGAGTGAACTTTGTTCCATTATTATTGCACGCAAAGAACATATTTTATAAATTGAATTTTGAAAAAAAAAATTCAATCCAGAAATCAAAAGTTCTTAATCAAAAAAATAGTTTAAGGGGAAACATAGCTTTTTTTTTGTTTTTAAAGGATTTTTATAACTAAAAGCAAAATTAAATTTTGCTTTTAGTTTGAGTTTCATCAATTGCATTCTTTTCAAACTGCGTTTCACAGATCACATTCCCCTTTTTTTAAGCCCAATACAAATGCTCACTCTGGACCAATTCAAATATTGCTAGGAATGCAATTTGTAAAACTCAACCGGGACAAAAAACACTGAAAATGTAAAAAAAAAAAAAATGTGATCTTGAAAAACAATTAGAAAACATTATTAAAAAAACAGATTCAATCAAATAAATTTTGAGAAATCGAAAAAATTATTCTTAAAGCCAACTTTGGAACAGAAGACTGAAAAGAAAACATTAGCTGAACAAGCCATACCTGAAACAAAATGACGAAGGCCAGTCTCGCAGATAGGACACACCAGTACTGCTTGGAGAACTGGTAGGCATCTGAGGACCAGGGAGGTTCTCTGTAATCCTTGTAACTAAAAGAGAAACACAAGCATGATATGTGACGTGTGAAAGCAGTTATACATGTAGCTTTGTAGGCCTGATGCAAAATATCAGTTAGCTTTAGTGCAAATGACCTTCAAAACTTAAAAAAATACATGTTTCTTATATTATTTCCCTTCCATGTGCTGAATATATGTCAGTGAACTCATCACAATCATGGTTCCTAAGCAAAGTTTTAGGTGATTCTTGTTGTGCCATATGCCATGATCATGGTTTTTGAACATGGTCTGCTCTGGTCATCTTGAGATGATGACCAGAGAAAAGAACGCAGCTTTTTGAGTCAATGATTCACAGGCAAGTCACAGAGCTGTGACCAACCAGCCCCCTCTTTGTGAGGACAGTAAAAACCACACAACACACAGGGACCCAGGCCCAAAAAGACCAAGATCTCCCTAGAATTATCAAGGATAAGTCATCATGGTGACCTTTTCAGTCCCAAACTGCTGCAAAACAGACTGTTGCAACACATTTCTCTTGAGTTGCAGAATTTACAGAGCCAGACTGGATGAGAAGGCCTCCTAAGGATCCCTGGTGTGAGCCCAAATGGACAAAGAAACCCCTTTCTGTGCTAAGCTACTCCTGGATGAATCTCAACCTTCCAAATGGACATGGAAAAAAAAGTTTGCAGGTCTGGCACAATTAGGGACAGAACAAACACTATGTCTTCTGATGATGTTGATCATTTCATGTGTTTACTGATGTGTAAAGACAAAGCTAACAGGATTTACTGCATGCTATACTATGCTACAGTAACATGTTTTGAGCTGTTGTTGAAGCTTGGACAAGCTTTATTTCACCAAGGGTTTAAACACTGATATAACATCGGTGTTCATATGTTCCTCAGATGCTCATTACATTTCCATTACCAAGTATGACCAAGAGTCATTTAATGGAATCCTGATGTCTATTCGCTGCTAGCTATTTATAAAAAGGGTAAAGAATCCTTTAGGTAAGGGTTACTGGTTCCTGAGCAAGCAAATCATTTAATAAAACATTATTTAGCCAAATAATGTTTTATTTACCTCATGGATTTGTATTGTGAATTGGTCTGAAAACATTCCAATTTCTTTCAAATTAGTGAAAAGCTAATTTGATCATATCCCAAATTCTTTCAGATAAACTTTGGTTTTCAAATACAGATCCATCTTAAACTGTAATATGATTTTCAGCCATGTCCCCCTTCCTCTTTGTACATAGTAGTTTAGTTTAATTGAGTTTCACTAGTTTTAGTCAAGAGTTTTAAACTGAAATATGTTTGACTTGGA